CACAAATCACACCTCAAAATTCAAATCTCAAATCCAAGAGCTCTCAATAATTCTCTTAAAGATCCAAATGTGTTATTGAAGATCCATGTATTTCATAAAATATATTCTTATAAATTTGGCACGCCCGGTGGGACTTCGAAGTAAAATTTGTATATATTAGTATATGGACTACAACATTACACCAAAAGCATAAGACTACAAAGCATCTTAGATAGATCATGAAAACACAAGAATTTAACACTTAGACTCCGTAAAATCTGCATATAACAACAAAAATTGCTACATACAAAATGTTTGGACATTTAATAAGTCACATTTTCTTGTACCAAAAAAAAAAAAAATAAGTCACATTTTCCTCAAATACACAAACTAAAATTAATACTATATATCTGAGGTCCGTAATAAATTTTAGAAAGCAAAAACATAGTAGTATTACTTTTGATATAAATCAATACCAATCCAACGCAATATTGATCATAATCTAACCTGACCACATCCATTTGTGGAGACAATAAGCTAACGTATAAAGAATGAATGAGGGCTCAACTCTCCAAATTGGGTGAAATGATGTTGGTAATAATTGAGATACTTAACAAGCTAACCACTCCAAATAAATGACAACAGAACAAAGAATTAATTACAATCATTAGCATAACAAACCACCATATTATCACTTTTTCCCTCACCATCCAAAGTCTTTGTTGAAATAATTACCCACCAATATTTAATTTTCCCCCCAAAAAAATGAGAAATTTAAAAAATAAAATACTATCGAGTGTGCACCGTGCGCATCTGAGCCCCACCCCATCAGTAGAGAACAAGAAATGGTAGGGCCAGAAAAGGGCAGTCGGGCTGGGGAGTGATGGGCCCAGTCAGGCCCATATGGACAGATGGGTTTTGTCTTTTGGATCTGAAGACTGTTCCATTAAGTCATTATGCTCCCTAAAAAATAAGGGCCCCGACGAATAGTTTATTTAATATTGGCCCCCTTTTTAGTGTCTATAGTAAAAGTCCTAGAATGT